AGATGATGATAAATAACATAGTTATGTATAATATATTACATTTCTGACTGTATATCCCTGTAATTATTACACACTGTAGCTTTAAAAATACAATCCACTCAAAATCATCCTTGGTAAGAAAAGTTTGTCAAACTGATCTATAGAGAGAATAATTCCAAACAGAGCCATGCTGATAACCTTTGCATTCTGTAAGTAAAATATATTTCCAATAACAGAAACTTGCTCTTAGAAATAGCTGTCAACCCATCAGTGTAAGTTTCCACTCTGAGGGAATCTGCCTGCTATGCTACATGGATGCTTCACCTATTAGCATTTAATCTTTTAGCTCCCTAAAATGCCTGGAATCAGAAATTAAAAATAGCATCTGGCTTTTGGTGCTTGACTGAGGTCATAGCACCTGTGTCTGTTTTATTTGAGTCACGGTGCTTCATGCTGCTCTTTGTTTTCACAGCATAACAACATCACACCATCACTTTGGTTTCAACATCTTGCAGCTTTCGACACCCATCTTATCAAAATGCAGTGTCTAAGTTCAAAAATAGACATGAGTGAAATATCATGTGCTAAATACAGATTGATGTTACAGATTGATTGAAGCTTTCCGTAGGCACATTATAAGACTAATACACAGTGTTCAATTCCACTAATTTGCTTCTCTTCCTGACTTACCTCCATTTCAATGGGAGGAACGTTCAAAAAAGGTGTTAAGGGTTTTTATAATGATCAACAGAGAGGTGAAACATATTTTAACTCCCTTTATGAGTGACACATGAACATCTAATTCATCAACATTATTTGCTATTTATATTAATGACATAGCCGAAGAAATTATCCAAGCTAATTTTATTGTAAAGTGGATGGTTGGAATTTAAATATTTCGTTATATAAAGATGAAATTGTGTTAGTTGCAAAAACTCAGGTTGCGTCAAAGAAAATAGAAGACATTTTTATCTTGTGGTTCAGTAAGAGGCAATAAAACTCAGGTTTTGCATTTTAGACAAAAGAGGGTCCAAGAATGTGCCTACATATTTCCAACAGGATAATGCCTGTAAGTTTCATTAGATCTTTGAATATTGTGTTTAAAAAAAAAAGAAAATTGATATTGCCTGAAGAAGTACAAGTCAGACTCAGCTGAAAAAGCTTTGGACTCTATAAGTCATGTCCTAAACCTTCATTTTGTAACCGTTCTACCTTAGCTGACACTACGGGATATCCAGTTTTACTTTCTGCTGCAACAGTGTGGGGTTTGAGGAAGCTCCTAATAATACTGCTGTTCAATTTAGAGCTATGATGGGTTTCCTTGGGTTGCTGTAGAAGATGAAATGGGTTGGGTGCATCGTTATATAAAACAAAAATCTGAAATGGTGAGGTTGTGGAATCACCTTGTTCTCATATCAGAGAAAAGATTTAAACTAAGATCACAATTACTCTAGTCTAAAGAGACTGCTAAAATATTTTTCTTTGTGATTTAGGTTTTATATACAGTAATACTTGTATATGTTATGATATGAATATAATAAGGATGTATAGGAATGATAAACATTGGTAGATGCAGGAGATTTGTAAGCAACCTAAACTTAGTACTTATATTTAAATCAACTATGTGCTTCAAACAGAATTATTCATAAATTTAAAAACAAAGAGACGATAAAGGTCATTGTGTGAGAAGTTAAGAACTGGTATTCTTCTAAACGTCTAGAAGAGCAATATCTGAGTGTGTTTAGTGAACTTAAAGTTGAGGAAAATTTTCCTTTTATATTTTATTGTCTTTCACATTATTTCAGAAACATTTAGTTTAAAACTGCAGCAGAAACAAGTCTGATTTGTTTTTGGCTATCTGAAGCAGAAGTATTAAGATGGCTGCCCAATGAAGACACTTTTGTTTTAACAAAACTCATCAAAAAATTTTGGCAGCTGAGACAGAGAGATTTCTTTATTCTTTATAAAAAACATTTTTTTTGTGTAATTTAGCTTTGGTAAATATCTTATGGTGTGTTTTATTTTATTTATTGGTTTTCCTTTTTTTCTGTGTAGTAGTTGTTTAGTGTCTAATATGCAGGTTTGGTTTTAAAGGTACGGTACTTTAATAAATAAATTAAAATCAAATCAAATCCTTTCTGTATTTCTGTTGTGCAACCAAAGCTAGGAGATCAGACCTACCCCTGCACACAGGCTCACTGTCATTCCAGTGGGGACTGCGGGGGTCAACACACTCAATGGTCCCAGAACCCTGCTCCATGACGAAGCCTGGAGAGCAGCTAAAGCTCACAATTGTGCCCAGCTGATATGAGATGTCACTACTGCTGAAATTTCCATGAGGCATGTAGGGCTCCCAGCAGTGCTCGTCGTCAAAAGCTTCAGACAGAAAGAAGAAAGGAAATAAGCAACCGCTGCAGACATAAAAACAGAAAGTTCTCCTGTTTACAGATTGACTATGGTTTTCACACAATGTGTTTAAACCACCAACAGGTTTGACAAATTATCTAAAAATATTCCACTGAAGCAAACCCAAGCATTATCTTCTAATAAACGGAACTCTACATTTTGGCAGAATCTGGAAAAAAAAAATGTGTGTAAGCAGAAAGATGCTTATTGAACATCCAAAGACAGCTCTCACCCTCATATCTGAGTGCCAACAGCAGAGGAATGGAGGAAGAATCAACTGTGAGCTCCAAGTACAGCATGGAGCCGTCGCTCAGCAGCCCGCGCTCCGGGACGTCATCGATATCAGAGTCAAAGAGTGACCGAGACAGGGAGCTGTTCCCACTACGGACAATTAACCTGGAAAAAGACAAGAGATACATTTAAAAAACACCATGATTTCTGTCTCAACAAGGAATATAGATGGAAAGCAAAGTGAAAGGTTCTACCTGGCAAACAATGATGTTTGATCTTTCCTTTGTGAAAGAGTACACACAGATTTTTACCTAATAGTCTTGATGGTAATTATACTCTCAGCTCTTTGAATAATAAATGCTGAGGGTGAGTGCATAAGAAAAAAAAAGAGTAATGGCTTAACTATCAAAGAGACCACTAGAAAGCACTTTTAGTCAAGGTCAGGTAAAGAATTTAAATGTTCATCCATTCATTCACAACACAAGTAATCTCAAGCCAATTTACAGGGACAATACTGTCAGATTGGTGAGAAAAATCAGTCGATTGCATTCAGTTTATAAGATCTTTTTTTTTTTTTTGAAAACGTTTCTACTGTGAGTCTAGATTTAGTCATGCCTCACTTTCTAATGAACCACATAACTGGACAATAAACAATAGAAAAAAGGAAATTAGTAGAGGTTGGTCTCATCTGCTCTCTCCTGCGAATGACACCTGGAAAGGATGTATGGGATTTTTTAAGAGGGTAAAGCTAACCAAAAAGAAGTGAAAATAGTGATTTTTAATGTATTCTTAAAGGAGCAGTTTAAATGATTTAGTGACATATTGAAGGTGTGTAAATTTGACTGAACTCATCATGATCCCATCATACCCTCTCTAAGAACACAATCCAGCTCAGGTGGCTGTACTGTCTGGTACTGTCACAGACTGTATGCTGCTTCAATAATATTTGGATTTGCAGACTCACTTCCAATTAAGTCTCTTACCTAAACTGAAAAAAAAAAATATGCATCTGTTTTTGGCATCATATTTAGTTTCTTTAACACAATTATTGTATGCCCTACCCTGCTAACATGAAACAATTGTGTTAAAGTAACTAAATGTGATTAAATAAATGCCAAACTCTAAAAGGAATTTGGGATGAGTCTTTGGTCAGAGCGAGAGAATGACACCCTCTTCCACTGATGTCACTGCAATCATAGTTCGGATATGAAGGAGCATTGATCTCCAAATACAAGCTTACTTGTCTTCATCTTCATCCAGAGCAATCCTCTCAAAGTGTAGATGAAGCCTGTGTCCTTCTTTAGCTTCTATCAGCCAATGGCAGCTTAAATTATTTCCATTACTGTGGTTGCTCACAGGCTGCGAAGGTGGAGACAGTATCCGTCCAACCGTTGCATTACGAATCCATCCTCCACAAGAAACAACTGAAGAAAAATGTTAAAGTTTTTTTAACAATCTGTAAACCAGGTGTGCTGGAAGAATAACTGCAGATCTGCACAGTCCCACCAACCGACACACTGTGGCTCCGGAGTGCTCCAACGTGGTTGCGTCGTGTTGACACAAGTTGCCACCTCATGGCCACGGATCTGGAACCCTGGATCGCAGTGGAAGTGTGCTTGGCCTCCAGGGTGGATGTCGGTCACTGTCACTCCGCCACCCTCAGGTGATGTGGGGAAAGGGCAGGAAAGCAGAAAGGCTGGCAGAAAAAAAAGACAGAAAATCTAATGTTAATGATGCAGAAATAGTTACATTCTTTCCTGCAACATCCTCCCTAAATGGTGATTTAAAGCTCCACTCTTTCTGACAAGCACTCAGTTTTCTAAAATGCTAAAGTATGATACTTTTGGTCAACATGTCTTTATATCTACTGAGCCTTTTTGTGCACATTCTTTAATCTGATGGATATTGATCAGTACAACATATGATAAGCCATCTGGAATGCTGCTACATCTCTTTTCTAAAGAACTTAAATGAAATATAAACCTACCACAGACAAAGCTGCCTTATATGTTACATTTTTTTTTACTGAAGACTAATATTAAACCTTTATGTTTTTAATAAAAGTCTAACTAGTGACATTGAACAGACAGAGGTTATATTTACCTTGATAGTGAAGGCTGAATGTGCCATGGTTGGACTGACGAAGACTGCGGTAGTGAATGGAAACCTGATTGGTCGTGCTGCGGATCACCTGGCCCTCTTTCATCAGCGTCTCATTGGCTAAGAGCTCCGGGCCTGAACCGCCTTGACCCATGATCACCAGAGATTCTTCCTTTGAGAGGTTCGTTTTCCTCACCTTGAGAAAGAAAAGAAAGATGAAGACGACAGAGGGTTAATTCATAAACTTTCGAGCAACTTATCCTAATAAAATATTCCTAAACAACTGAGCTTATATGCTGCACTGCTGCATATTGATTTTCACGTTTGAGTATGAAATAATAAATAGCACAGTTTTGTATTTCTGCTAATCACACTGTATTGCAGTTTTGACAAAAACATGGTTATGTTAAAGCGTGACAGAAAATGGATGGATGTTTAGAGTAGACAACATTATTATTATTAATAATTAATACTGATAACATATTAAAATACATTATTATGATTATATAAAATTATGTATTTATAATTCCCTTTAATATAAAATATATTAATTATGTTGATTGAACTTTATTGCGTAAGAAATGAAGCAAATATTACATTACCTACTTTATTTTCTTTTTTTTTTAAATATATATTTTGATTGTTTCAGCTTTGATCCAAAATGATTTGACATTCTTTATTAACAAGTTATAGTTTCCGATTTCTAAACAGTTGTTTTTTTATATTTGCTTTTGAAAATATGTGTTTCAGTTTTTTTCTTGCATGACAATGTCCTCAATTAATTCAATCATTTCTAGTTTTATTTGTCTCCTCATCTGTTTATATCCTCTGAAGCCCTTTCTTGTTGCTTCTGTCTGTGTAAACTGTAATATTGGAATGAGTTGATCCTGTTTGATAATAATATGATTTATGTTATCTGTATATTCAGTTCAAAGTTTATATACATAAAATAAATAAGTCGAATGCAGAAAAGAGTTCATAAAACTTATTTACACATTTTAAAATTACACAACCTGAATTTCCACGCCGTAGCCTGGATACACAGTAATGCTGTAGGTGCATTCCAAAGTAGATAGTGAGGATGATGATCCAGGATCTGGGGACTCAACAAAATCCTCCATCGCTGACAAAGAAGCATTGCACTGCACTATAAAACAGAGAAACAACAGAAAAAAGAATTTGATATTCATCAAAAGGGGCATTTTTATGAAAGCTATAGCCCAGATTAGTCTGTTGAACAAAATATCTGGCTGATTTAAAGCAGTTTCTGGAACATGGTAAAAAGGCAGCTGCTGTGCTGTGAATGACGGTGGTTCGACCAATTAATATTTCAGATTTGTCATTAAGAGCTCTGAAATTCTTTTATTTACTTAAAAGAAATCTGGTCTACCATGTTTCCTTCCAACAATACTCTTATTTTTAGGCCAGAGCTACCCCCACTTGTACATATGGTTTTTGGTTGTTTTCCACTATTTGCAGATTTATGTGAGGCGACTGCAAATCAATCAACACTTTGTGGCAGACTCAAATTTAGTATGCCCCACGGCACAACCAAGCAGCAGCAAGAACAGTTTCAAGAGAGCTGAAGCATTCTCTTAAAGCACAAATTTGCTGCTGTACCTGGTGAACAAACATGTTTGAGATATTTTTTAGAGACTTCATGAGATCAGCAAACTCCAATGACCACCCTATGACAAAATGAAACACCTCAAAACACAGGTGATGCTCCCTCTGCCTTTTTTCTCTAAAGCACACTCACACCTTAGAGATCATCTTTCTCACAAGACATTTCTCTCTCCAAGTTTGCTGTACATCAGCTGGCCCCCTCCGACTCAATCACATTTCTTTCATTCTCCTTTGTTGCTGACACTCACCAGCTCTCAATCACGAGTTATGAGAGCTGCACAGGCACCTGAACCAATGGAAAGGCTGCACTGGTGTCTCAAATGTTTTTTTTATTTTTTTTCTGACACCCATTAGCACAGGATCGTCTATCACATCATGATGGTCTTATAGTTATTGGCCGGCATGACCACAGGCAGACAAAGATAGTGCTACTATTAATATTTATGTCTTCATATCATGTTTGGTAAACAGTGCCTATTTAGAAATTCACAAACAAAATCATGATTAACAAGTAGAAAAATAATCAGACATTGGTTCACTGTATTTTATCCAGTAAAGTAAAAGGGTTTGAATACAAATTAATTATCAACTTTTTAGATTTTTGCTCTGAAATATTAAAAACAAAACACATAGCTTCCTATGCTTTATGCACTAGTTTGGTTGGTCCAGCCCTTAAAGTTCCTCTAAATACATTCAAGTGTCTGGTATGGATACTTTTGTAGTTGGCTATAAGATTGATTGTGCATAGTGTGAATGCATTAACCTTACATATGAAATTAAGTACTCATCTACATTTCTAAATATTGCATTCTTGTTACTTTAAATTAACTAGATTGTTTCAAATTAGAGATCATCACCAAATGTAAAAAAAGGATTTGATTTCTATAAATGATTCTTTATCTATATTATCAATATTGAAAGGAGGCATTTTCTGATACCGGCTGAAAGCCTGCTGAGCAAAGAAAACAGTTTGCAAATACATAAATAATTGGGGAAAGGACCTTCAATTGATTTACAAGTCTTATAAACAAGTCTTGTGAAACTAAACTCAAAGCGTTTGGCCATGGTGACCATTTTGATTTCAAGCAGCACGCTTGCAAACATGAGATCTCCATCAAAACTGCAGTACAGAAGTAAGAGCATCAAGCTTCGGGTGGTTTGCTCTATGAGAATTTGGTGGACTTCATCCTTCAGATGACATTATAAGGGCAGACGAGGAGGTGGAAATAATGAAGTAGGATCTCAATACATCAGCTAAGAAGTTAGAGGATGTCAAACTCAAGGCCATCACAAAATCCTGATAAAGTTCTTCAAGGTAGAGCTGAAAATGTGAGTGTGAGAAGGGATGACTATAATAAAATAACACCTGGTCTATCAGAGGGAATGAGTCAGTCAAACACTAAGGAAACAGCTTTAAAGACCTGACTGTGTTTAATTTAATTCCAAAGAGTTATTAAAAGGGGACAGATAACTGTTTAAAATTAGAATCAGCCTCTTCTATGCTCCTATAGTAAACATCAACACCTGGTGGCAAGAAATACAAAAAACGCTGAAGGCCACAAGGAAGGAGGAAGGATTGTAATTAGATGTGATGAACAGATGAATATAGGAACATGTTTAACTCAACTGATATGGTCATTGTAATATTTAAACATAAAACTTTGAATAATTCAGTTGAATTGTGCACCTATTAAATTCAAAATGAGAGGATTCTTCCTTTTAAATTTTTTTCTTCACAGGGCACTGAGTGTTAATAATTATAGGTGTTTACACATAGAGGTCAACTGCTTCATGGAGCTTTATGTGAGGGTGTTCGAGAAACACGATCTTATTTGTTTGTTTTAACATCCACAATATTTAAAACTGAACCTCATCCTAGTTTTTAATGACAAAAATATGTAAAACACATTGATAAATATAGAATTAATTGATTTTTCACATTGAGCCCATCAACAGTATATTTAAGTAAACTATTGTTTAAAAAACAGTTGGCATAATTTAAATAGAATGAAAATGAACATAAACGCTTTACAGTGTCACAACATTTCTTTTATAATGTTATCATTCAAACAATAAAAAAAAAACAAAAGCACATTAAGGCAAAGTTGTACCTGGCATGTGCATTGTAGTTATGGTGGTGGTGGTTATTAGTGTGGTGGTGGTCTCTTCTTCTAAGGGGAACGAAGACATTGGACTCCTCAATCCTGTCTTGCCTGCAGCGGAAGAAGACCCTAAAGCTGTGGTAAGGAGCCCCGGTGATATGGCTGCTGCTGTAGACTCAACCGGCTCAAGCTCTGGCACTGCCTGTGTGGGATTGGTGGTGGTACCTGCAAATTGAGAAGGTTCAGTTTAATCCAGTATCCAATGAAGGGTCACTTCAGGGATTTAAGTACAGTCAGAGCATAGAGCTAAATTTTCTGTTAGTGTACCTGTGACTCCAGGAACCTGTCCCAGGTACTCTTTACTTTGCAGAGCAGCGTGTATCAGCTCACCTGGTGGATAGGAGTCTGGAGCTGATGTGGGCGATGCATCAGGCTCAGGAGTCACGAAGCACACACCTGCAACAGACAACATCGGTTACTGTATTTGTTATTGAGAAAACGAATAATTTACACCTCCTGAATATTTCCTAATTTTGTCACATTGCAACCACAAAATACAACATATGTCTCATGATTTCATGTGGCAAAAGAACGTAGAAGATAAAGAGCTAGAAAATGAAAACATTATTTCAACAATGAGCTCCTGACAGTTTGGTGCATTTTATTACCAGCTTTGTGGGTCTTGAAGCTGCAAAACTTTGACTTTTTTTTTAAAATAAAACAATAAAACAATATTCTGATTTGAATTTAGGTCCTTACTTTGATAGGATCAGTCTGACACATATGTGTGTTTTAATCTAAACCGTTCTGTTATAGCTCTGTCTGCATGCTAAGTAAGAGTCCTAGTGCCATACAGCAGAAACCTCTAGCAGGTTTCCCTCTAAGGTTCTCTACAGTAGAAAAAGCCACGTGATGCTGCCACCAGACCTTATGTATTTTCCTTTGCTGCATATGTTTAGTGAAGTTGTATTTTTTTTTTTCATTTGAGCAAATTCCTTCCTCAGCATGCTTGCTCTGTCCATTTAAACAGGACAATGCATGGCCTTTTTTTCCTAACTGCTAAACATTAAACAGAGCTCTGCAGGTTCAATGCTTGGGATATTGCTTTATAACCTGAATATTCTTTAAATTTCACCACAGCCTGATATCTAACCAGTCTTGTGTGTTTCTTGATGTTGGTTGAGTAATATTTTTTATTTTTTTTTTAGAAACAGCTTATAAATAATGTCAAATTCCATACACATAGGCTCTGTCTACTAGACAGATTGACTTGAAAGTAGTTAGTAGATGGGTGCTTTATTTAGGGGAATCAGAATAAAGAGGAGAGAGACTTTGTACATGCTTTATTTGCAATGAATAGCTTAAAAGCTATTCAACATTTATCTTCCAATACACCATTATTTACTACCTTGAAGTAATATAGTGAATAAATTCCATGAAATTAAAATGTGAAATGTGAAAAAGAGTAGATGTAGTGGATCAACAGATGCAGCAAAAATAACACTAACAATAAAAAACACAAACAAGAATGGAGACTACATAACAAATTACCTAAATCCATGTGCATCACGGTGAAGATCACAGCCAAGACTGCGAACCCCATTTTTTTCTGGATGAAGCTGAATGACCTGAGAAGGTTAAAAGGAAGAGAAGGAAAACAAACAGATCTGTGATTTTGCAAACGTGCTTCTCTGCCTAATAATAGCTCGTTATAGCAACAAGAGGCAAATACATCACAGAGCGGTAATGAATAGGCCAACAATCTATTAGTCACCGCATATCTGACTGATATGTTTACATCAAACAGGCCATAATTGACTGGAATCAGATCACCTCGACATAATACTGCTAAAAGCTCCGCTTGTGCAATTTATGCGCAGGGTATCAAATGGCATATGCAAAGAATTGCCAAATATGTAAAAATAATAATAATAATAATATATAATAATAAAAACATTGCATTAAATATATTATTTCTGTTAAGGCTTGATATTCGGGGTTTCCCTATGCAATGTCTCACCCAAATCTGCAACAACGCGCCGAAAAATGCGCTATTCCAAAATCCAGCTACCGAGTAGATATGGTCTCTGAAGGCTCCCTTCTGTCTTTTATTGTTTCCAACCTGTTAATTGTGTGAAAAAAAGCCCATCCGCTGCTATTCGAGGCGTTTCCTCTGTGGAAAATGTCAGCCGGGTGTGAGACATAAATGATGGGGCTTATTCGAGGGAGAGAGATCACCCGGCCCTCTTTGTGCGGAGGACGATTCTTTTTTTCTTTTTTCTTTATTATTTAAACATCAGTCATCACCGCTGTTCTTTCCGCAACAACAATTCATTAAAAGGTGCAGGCTGCTTACCTTTCTCCCAGAATGTTTCCGCTTCTCTTTATTTTGTCAGATCTGGTATCTTGGGGGGTATAGCGTTGCTTGAGGCCGTAAACACGGCTGTGATATTGCTGGTGAGATTGCCTCTAGCTGGTTACCGTGTGGTTGACGCATTCGGCTATAATGTGAGGGCATTTGTGTTGGAGCGTCAAAAGCGCCCTAGCGGCCGAACGGAAAACTGCAGAAATACACATTTCTGTGTGCTGGAGAGCTGGAGGAGCTGTCCACCAACATCGGTGCTGAAGCTGTCAGACACGGAGCTTCACCGCGCATTAAGGTAATATACGACTGAGGTGTGGGATGCAGCTCCATAGGAAATTATCAGTTGCATATGGTGCATGATAATGCATGGCAAACATTTGGTGACAGCATTTTTATTGAATGGAGGATGTTTATGCCAGTGTGGTAAGTAAACAAGAGCCAGTTAAGCTGTGTGAGCTGATGCAGAGCAAAGAGCAAAATGAATGCTCACGCTGCTTCAAGGAGCATCAGCCCATGAAACATCCATGTCTGCCAATGGAGAGCATCCCCGATGTTAATGCAACAACAAGTCGGCTGCAACAAACCAATGACTCGCTTAAAACTCACCCTCTCACATGTACAATCGGTGAATCCACTGTTATTTTCTGTCTCTGCCTAATTGTAAGCAGTAACAAAATTACAATAACATACATCTTTCCACTATATTCTCTTTATCAACACTCTCTTGATATAAACCCACCTATTTTTTTGTCTTCAGATTAATTAATGCTTGGCCGAATATTCTTGGCTTTGTAGTGATGTTAAGAAAATTACATCTATGCTAACTTATTCTGAGGCAATATGTAAACTGTTAAAGTTAAATTGCTCCACGGGTAAACATGTCTAAAAAAAAAGATCACTCAAAGGCATAGCAAATGCAAACCTTTTGAGCATATCTTTTTGAAATTTAAAAGACAAAAAACACAAAAAGAAACAATAACAAACAAACAAAGTTAAAAGTTGATAAATTAACATTTACCAAAAATATTATAAGCTCCAACAAGTAATTTAAGAAGATGGACTAAAAACACTTTTTGTATAAATTTTCAAAGATTATGTGTTATCCAGTACTTTCTGTTTCTCTCGATTCTACATACTTGACACAGGGACCAATTCTCCTAGCTGAAGGCCCTTGACTGAACAGGGCATATTTATATTGCTACCGAAAAACTGCAGGTAAGGTTGTTAAGATTATCTCCAAAATTCACTTTCAGAAGCTGCAGGAAAGGGTAACATCTTAATGACACCAAGTCTAACCATCACACCCTGTCTATGTCTCAACCAGTTGTTTAATAATAATACCAAAAAACAAAACAAAAAGGCTTTTCCTTTCCTGCGATCACAATGCATTCTTTAAAATAAAAATTTAGACTCATTTTAACCTTTGGTCGGATAAGTACAAGGTTAAAAATTTCAGCATTAAGACGGGTTTTAAGTTTTGGTGTTAAAAATAAACAAAAATAATATATATATATATATATATATATATATATATATGTAGAAAACTGGTTAAAATCCAGTGATATATGGTGGAGATATGGTATCATGAACATTTAAACCCCCAAGAAGATTTAACCAAAGAATTACTTGGCCTCTGTCAGTTAAGTACATACAGTTTAGTGCGCATTCGTGAACTCTTGTGTTCCCTGTTGTAGACACTCCCTTTTAAAAAGACTTTCCTTCTAGGTATTATTAAAGTAATTCTGATTCTGATATAGTATTGTTGGGTTTTCACTTAGTTTTACCTCAGTATAAAAGCTGTTCACTGCCTTTTCCCGAGTACTTTGAATATGAAACATATTCAAAAATCAACACAGATGTGGTTCAGCAAACAAATCAGCTTTCATCTATAGCCAACACATGTTATCAGAGCTGAATCCCAAAGAAAAGCTGTAGGATGAGCTAAATAGAAGCTATAGAAAGAAAGGATCCAGGCCTCTGAAGTATTAAGAAAAAATGGTCACTGATTTTATTTGTCCATTGCATTGATTTAATCACAATGAAGTTCAAAATGTTCAGTAGGTTATATGTATTATATTCTTCTCTTTCTCTCTCTATTAAGTAAAACTGTTATCATTTCTTAGGGAATAGACAGACAAAATTAGCAAATATAGCTTTATATCGCCTTGCCATACTGTTCACATTATAACCATTCACAGTCTATTATGAAGATAATTACTTTTACTGAATATTTCTCACTGAAGGTCAGAAATGCATGATTAAACAGTCTTGTGAAGACAGGCATTTTTATGGAGAGGTTTAAAGCAAAGTTAACTCTCTGAATAAAGCACCAAGATCTGAAACTTCCTATAGAGAAATGTGCTAATCAAAGGAAAAAGGCAGACCAAAAATGACCACCACTTTTGCGCTTGTAGGGGAAACAGCGAACATGTACAGGAAGAATGAAACTCAAATTTCCTGTCTGACACAAAAATCATACGTAAAATGCAAAAAACCCAAACATATTAATTCCTCTGTTTTTTTTCTAGAGTTACAGTCGTGGATTTTTCCCAGCTTAGCAGATTAATTTATCCTTTTTTGTTAGCAGTCCATGTTCCGCTTGTTTCTCCAGGGGCTTTTGCATTGTGATGTGTAGGTATAGAATCACAAAAGCATAAGACGTTTCTGGGCTTTAAATGTGTTTATAAAACGCTATAACAAAAGTTTAATCTGAAATATGACATATAACTATGAATGTTTTTTTTCATTCTGTTTTTCTTACAGTTGTTCGGTGTCTCTTGTCTAAAGGATGTACTGGTCAATAAGCACACTGCCTTTTCCTGAGTATGTTGAGCTTGGTTTCCATTCACTGAGTGGCCTTCTGTGGACTCTGCTATTCCTGTTTCTGTGGCACTGTTACCGGATTGGCTCTGACCTGCCAGTCCCAGGCCATGGTGGAAAGTTAAAGTCAAACTCAAGGCGGTCCATGATTTCCCGAAGCGGTGTGTGCATAGGAACAAAATGCAGTGCCCGATCCAAGTTATCAAGAAGCGATCAGATTGCTCCTTTTATTTCCATGGAAACAGCAAAGGATGAGGAGCAGGGACAGGGCTACCTCACGCCAGTGCTGAGTCACTCTTTATTCCCTGCCCAGGCATCTGCAGAAGCCAAGAAGCTGTACGCAGCACTGCAAGAGTATGCCAAGCGCTACAGTTGGGTGGGCATGGGCCGTATTCATAAAGGCCTTCGTGAGCAGGTCAGTCACTCTAAACCGGTTTATTCCAGCTACAGTAAAAGCTAGGAATGTTTCTGATATCTTTATGTAATGGATACAATAAAAGAAAAGCTGTAAATAAAATCTTTATTTTGTGTTTTCTCCAAATTAAGGTCAGACTGAATGATCTCTCCACCATACAGAAGCCGCATCTCTTCTTCCTGCCAGATGTCCCAAGTGTTCCTTTTTTCCCACGAGATGCTCATCGACATGATATCGAGGTCTTAGAGTCAAACTACCCTGCCATCTTGGCTGAATTCCAGGCTGTTTACCAGAGAGGCATTGACCACAAATCAGGCTGGACATCTCTGGGGGCAAAGGTATCCAACAGAAAGTTAATGTGTCATTACCAGCAAACACAAACTGATTTCTTATTTTTTTGCTATAGAAATACTTAATAACATACAGTCTGCAGACAACTCAGAAAGTTGTAAGAAAAGAGGAATGTTTTTGTTGTTTTTTCATTGCAAAGTTCATCAAAAAGAAATGACTAGAATATTTTTTATCATTTAATAAGTAGACATATCATGCCTTAAAAAAATAGTTGTAAAAATAGAGTCGGAAGTAAAATTGATACCAGGATTTGGGGAGATCTAAACAGATTTCTTTTGAACACAATCCAATCCAGTTTTATTTGTTAAGCACTTAAAAACAACCACAGTTGACCAAAGTCCTGTACAGACAAAACATAAAAACATAGAACATAAAACATTACAGATAAAAAACAAAACAGCTAAAATATGGTTAAAATAACATTCACATAATAAAATCATTAAAATTGGGTAAAAGATAAAAGGAAAAAAAAGATAAAAAAAAGATATAAAATTAAATAAAGTCCACTGTCCTGCTAGGTGTTAAAGGCCAAAGAGGAATGGTGGGTTTTTTGACAAGAGATTTAAAAAGTGAAGAGGCTTGTCTGATGTGCTCAGGCAGGTCATTCCAAAGCTTTAAAGCTGCAACAGCAAACACGTGGTTGCATGTACCGTCATTAGGGAGTCAATTCTTTTTACCTACTCTGAATGGGACTACACTGCACTGACCATAAACCCATTAAAGTGCTGCGTAAAAGCACAGAAGAACAGATGGCAGATAAGATAGGCTAAAATTTCTTATTTTCAGCTAGATTGAAACAAAACTGAAGTAATAGTTTTGGAATAACTGTGGTAAAAGGTAGCATACATCTTTAGTTAATACAACTAGAATCCATTAGTGTAGTGATGGACTTAAACTTTCAGAGGCACATAAAGACAGTAACAAAGTAGGTCTTCTGTCACCTACAGGATATGTCCAGGATAAAAGGACTGATGCTTCAGCAGGACCTTGAAAAATGAATTCATGGGTTCATATTTAGTAGAATGTCTGCAACAGTGTCTTCACAGGTCTGCCTGAAAAGTTGATTGGACAGCAGCAGCTGATCCAGAATACAGCTGCTTCCCCCATCCTCACTAAATCAAAAAGGAAAACAATAGAGCACATCCCCCCGGTTTTAAAGTAATTACAATGGCAAAACCCATACGAGAAAACAGACTTTATAATACTTCTGTTAGTCTACAAATGACTGAATGGCTTAGCTCCATAGAACAAAACACAGAGAAGCAGCTCTTAGTTCTTATGCTCAACTACTCTGGAATAAACTTCCAGAGAACCATAAAAGTTTTGAAACCTGAAATTATCTTAAATCCAGGTTAAATTTATTTTTTTGTTATATAGAAATGCCTTTGACTTTTCTATCTTATTAGTCAAGATTTTTGTCCAACTTCATATTTTGTTTCTTATGTAATGTTCTTCAATTCATTTTATTCTCTTTAATTATTCAGGTTAATTAATTATGTAATTACCTTTATGCCACTGCAGTGTACTTTTCTTCCTTTTCAGATAGATTTCCTTTGAATTGTGTTGCTACTGAAATGGGCTACATAAATTAATTTGCCTTTCCTTCCATTTCATCTTATCTAAGAATTACTGTATGAAACCATGGATGCAAGAACTGCTACGGCAATCTAGCATCTGAAAATAGAGAACATGGCATGAAGGGAAAGTTACTAAGATTAGATTTTTCTGTTAAGCTGACATGCTTGGCAAACTGAAAATTATTCAGGAAAAAAGGTTAGGATATCAGGAGAAGCTCTGTAGATCCAAGGTTTAGGTGTGAGAATCTATTGACTGAATAACTATTACTTAAAGAGAGCCAAGAAGAAAACTTGAAGTAGGCCAACCTAAGTCTTCATTCATTTATGTATTTATTTTACTTTTATAAGAATTGGTATACCTGTTGAAGACGATGCTCTGATCAAATGAAAACAAATTTGAAATTCTTGGCCTGTGGGCAAAATACTATGTGTGACAGATGTCACATGGAGGCAAGACACAATTAGTGGTTAAAACTTAAAAGTATTACTCAATAGTTAGGTAGGCATTTTATTAAACAGTTTTTTAAATCTTAAATTATTTCTTTGGCTTATTTTATCTTTTGAAACAACTTTGCGTGTGCATACGTCATCTGGTATGTTTTGTGTCTCCCCAAATACCCTAACTGATCATCTTAGGCTGCAATAAAAAGAAAAGCCAGGGTGATTTTTAGCTCCTACTAGTTGATATTTCATAATAACTTATTAGTTTTGCTCTTCAATTAATTCTTCAAAACACCTGGAAAGGAGGCCTCTAGAAATGATACTCTCAAGTGGACTGAAAACAAAATCTTAGCACATGTTAGATTTAATTTGTAAACTTTTAAGGAGGTTAAAACACGACTGTGACCTGAATGTGGTTTATGTTTTCTTTTTCAGAGCCAGGCTGTGTTTCCCTTGTACAGTGCAGGTGTCTCTGTGGCAGAAAACTGCCGCTCTTGTCCCTCCACATACCGCACACTTCTTTCTCTGCGTACATTCATAAACAGCAACTCATTGGGATCTGCAGGATTTTGGCTGCTGGGCCCTGGAGCTACACTGACGAGCTCCTACGGACCAACAAACACACGCCTTCGCTGTCACCTTGGTATTAGAATGATATTCACTTTGTTGTTAAGATAAAATGAAGGGTTTTGATGTAGTTTTATTAATGATATTCTTAGAATTTAAGTTTGATTAAATGCATTGTTTTGTCTCATCCCTCACAAATGTTGAGCTTCTTCTGTTAATCCAATTCTATAATTACATGAACTTCACATGCTCTTTGTTATAAAACAATGTTCTCATGGAAGCACAATTAAATCACCAATGAGACTACTGTGCTCAGTTATGTAATTTATTAGAAATGCATTAACAGGGGGGTGGAGGTTAATTTCTCTGTTCTGCATCTTGTGCTGTGTCCCATCTGACAATAATCCTCTCAGTTTTAAAAACAGATGGGACATTTCTGTTTATTGTTATGTAGAGACCCGAACAACAACATGAAGTTCTCTTTCACAGGTTTGCAGACGCCGGCTTTGTGCGAGCTGGTGGTGGGAGGCGAGCCTCAGTGTTGGTCAGAGGGCCACTGTCTCCTCCTCGATGATTCATTCCTTCACACCATCTCTCACAAGGGTAGAGAGAGCCACAACAGTAAAAATTTTGTTTGTTTAATCCCATGAAACCACCAATAATCATGTGTCTTTGCCTTTTTAAGGTCTTCCAGAATCTGGACCGAGAGTCATTTTGAACGTGGACCTATGGCATCCCAATGTGGCTGCAGCAGAGAGACAAGCTTTGGATTTCATGTTCACCCCTGACCTTTGACTTTTTTCCTGCACTTCCTGTGAGCCCCTTGCTGGGATGCCTTAACTTAGCCCAACTCCTCCTGGTTCACACGCCTCATTCCAATCTGTGAATCACTGTGCAAATCCTCAGTTAAGAATTAGACAAGCCATTTGCTAAGCATTCAAGCAGTGTTTAATGTTTGGTCTACAGTAGTAATCCCGAAAGTGGCGCAGTACTTTTGCTGTTATGCTTTATGCATGATGCACTGGTTTAAAAACACAGTCTGATCACATCTTAAAGCACAAACATGAGAGCAGGGGTTAACTGCTGTTTTAGCATTTTAATTCCATTTGCTACGCTAATATATGCATGCAAAGCCTCAGACTTTGTAACTGTAACTGCCGTTATCTGAGATTTTGCATGTGCATGGGGACGTTTTAGATATTCATATTTTAAATTGGTTTGTAACTACAAACAAGTCAATCCAAAAAACTGTGAATACTTAATAAAAATGACCTACTCTCCTCGGATAACTAATCAAAACACAGCCAAAGTATACTGTTCTGTCTTTTCCTTATAACAGACCTATGTGCGGCACTAACTTAGTGTATTTGATCTCTTTGCAATTTCACTTTGCAAGTTTGTTTTTGTTAGAGCTTTTATATACAGTGAAATTTAGAGAAAACAATTACATGATATATGTTGATATGTCTTGTTTTCTTATAAAAAATGAACCAACAAAAGTAGATAAAATGGATTTAACATAATTGTATAAATAAGATTGAAAACAGAAGGAAAAATGAAAGAGAAAATATGATTAATCTAAGATGACTAAACCTTTGGATAATTTGGAAACGCTTAGATTATGTAATAAGTATACCCATAACATTTGATTTAACTGGAGACACACCTGTGAAAGTATTCTATGGTAAAACAATCTGTCTCTGTGTTTGGGATCATAGGAACATCAGAGATATTAGCAAATAAGTTAGTATAGAATTATAGAACGCTAGTCTGGTTCATTACTGCAAGAAACATAATTTCTTCTGTGATCACATATGATCTGATGAAAGCAAAAATGATTTTTAATTGGATAAAAGTGGTGGTTCGATAGGTTGTGGTCAGAGAGTTCATAGTCCAAGAGACAGAAATCCTTTAAAAGAGAGAAAAAAAAAAACTGTTTTTCTGGCATTGAACAAATACAGACACTTCTGTCACTGTCAATGTCTGGGTTTGCTTCAGGTAATCCAGTTTCCAAAGTCAGAAAACATGCATTTTAGAATAAACTACAGAACTGATGACGCTAAGCGGGCCATAGGAGTATATGCATGCTTTATTCTATGTGTTTGTTACCCCAGTGATTGAACTGTTGAACGACCTGGGCTCTGTCTCTTACACTCAGATCACTAGAGATAAGATCTACCCCCCCATGACCCTAACAGGATTAAGGGCATAGAAAACGGATGGATGGAAGCAATAAGACACTATATTTATTTTTGGATGTAACATGACAGGAAAAAGAATCAGGTAATTTTGATCTTTTTGAAAGCCCAGAATGCAAAATGTCCATAAGAGGAGATACTAACATTTATTTTATTTTATTAAAATTTTCATTTTCCTGATATCTTTTAATTCTGTGTTAAGTAAAAGCTTATGCAAGCTGTTTAATTTACTGGAAACATTGATTGGTAATAAATAACAAAATTATATTGAAAATTCTTACCTATTTATCATGTTGGTGTCACTATTTTTTTGTTGACAGTTGATGAGAATTAGTCGGTGATTTTTATCTTATCTGCCATCTGTTCATCTGAGGGTCCCATGTCGAGGATTACAGAACTGGAACTAATCCCACCCCAGAGATGCAGATTAGTCCTGAGATTGTTGACATGTGGTCGTATATATGTTGCTTCATGATTTATAACTCATTTGTCTCTGTTTTATACAGTGCAGAGGAGGGAAAATGGGAAGTAAAACAATTTACAAGTCAGGTATATAAAAAAACCAAAAACAATTCTATTAATGGTTGCACATTGTGAGAATCTCTTGCCAGAAAGAAAAAGTCACTTTTTCTGATGGATTTAATGCAGAAATGTTTGTAGGACACTAATTGCATCCATGTTTCACAAATGAAATATTAAACTAAATATTTTAATTATGATATCCATTTAATTAACAGAACTGATTTCCTTTATTAAGTATTTCCTTCATATTGCAAAAAAATTCTGCAAAAAAGTGGTTGGGGAGAAAAGAAAAATCCACTATATCCACAAGCAATCTGTCATTTAAACTTGATACCCGACCAGTCATATTTGTTGAGCTCGGATTACCGTGGGGAGTATAAGCCTGTGATTTATTTAGATTAATGTTTAGCAGGAAATTTACATGTATGTATTGGTTGATGCGTATTACTTATGAATTTCACTAATCAGTTTTGTGCCTGCCCTCTACACACTGAGTATAAATACACACACACACACACATGCATGTATGTAGTGTAGATATTTATTAATCAGATTTTTCAATCTCCTGCAAAAAAACAAAAAAAATATAGAGACGTGAAACTTTTTTATTTGTGGTATCACAGAATTTACACAATGCTTTACTTGGATTCAATATATTTTAAACGGCAGCAGCACAGCTGTACATTTTGTTGCACTAGCGCCAAGCAGCAAAAAGGTCCTGGGTTTGAATTTTTTCCCTGTTCATCCTTTAGGTCTCTGGGTACTCTGGCTTCCTCTAACAGTCCAGAAACTTGACTAACAGGTTAAGTAGTGGCTCTTTTTTGTCCTTATGTAGGTATAATTCTTTGGCAATCTACTTTCTATCTAATAAAAAAATAAAAAATCTCCAGGTAAAATACTAACATGATATGCTTCATAAAAATGCTACTAATTCAACATACGTCTTAAAACTGATACTTGAACAAAAGTGTTTATAGACCACTATGGGACACAATCATTGGATTTTAGTTTCATACTATTTATCTTAAAGATAAAATTAATTTAATGTTGAAATAAACAAACTCAAATTTTCAGAAACTATACAAAAAGAAAAATCAAGAAGAATCTGTTTTGTTTCTGAGCTTGACAGAAACATTGAGGATCAATGACTGTTTGCTGTGAAGATTGTCCTCCAGGTGTCACCAAAGAGACACCTGGAGGTGTTCCAGTTCAAGGTTACAGTGATGCTATAAAGGCAACTTTCATTAAACTAGATGCAGCTCCAAGAAGATACACTGACTGAAGATGCTGCCCTTTATGAGAGAGGGGCTTCTGCTGGGAACAATCCAGCCAAAGTGCACAAAGAGAACCAATGCATGCACGGGGAGAACATGCAACCTCCATGTAGACCATGGGTCTCAAACCGGTTCCAGAAAGGGCTGTGTGGCTGCAGGTTTTCTTTCCAACCAAGCAATAGCACACTAGACTCCAGTCATCTCATTAGGTGAGTCCAATCTGAACATGATGACTTGATGAGATGAATTTCAGTCTGGTGTGCCATTGCCTGGTTGGAAAGAAAACCTGCAGCCACACGGCCCTTTCTGGAACTGGTTTGAGACCCCTGATGTAGATAGACCATGGGAATCGGACTCAGAAAAATCTTGCTGCAAGGCAACAGTGCTACAAAGTACTCCACAATGCAGCCCATATCCACACATCAGGAAGTACATATTGTGTCATTCATATAAACATTACATCCAAAAGTTAATTGAAATTCAATTCTCTGATGAGGACAAAAATAAGTCACACAAAAACAGCACTCTTATCATGGCACATTTTTTCATCCATATTCATCCCAAATTAAAATAAAAAAAAAGTCAGGGGAACTGCATGGAAAGGGATTTTCATATCATTGGTCGCACATGCAGTGCCTTTGCACCATCCTCTTATCAAAATATTTACTTTAATAAGGTGCACTTGCTCTGGCTTCCCTCCACCTTTATCATAAAATTAACTATGACTCAAATAGCTTGTTATTCAAGGTGCAAGGTGCAACACAAAGACTAATCTACTGGTCAAAAAATACTTTCTTAACAATTTATTTATTGATTGCATGACAACTGTCATGGCGGGCCATTTCTCATGGCGTCAGTAGTATACTTTTTTATGGTCGGGGATAATTGAATGGCTTTTTTTTTAGCAGGTGACATAAACTGATAATCTAATGAAGGCTTCCAGAGAACTTAAGGTGGAGATTTGCCAACGTTGACAAAAATATGGAATTTTACATCAGAAAATGTTATTTTGTTTTTTGCTTTTTATTAAGGACTGCTCCTTGACGCTTATACTCATAGTTTTTTTCACAAAAAAGAACTTTGTTATAATATAAATTTACATACTGTCTGTGTAGGTAGATAGCTTATTTACAAAAAAAAATATTGAAAAGAACTTAAAACAATATGGATCCTCTTCTGCCTTCATTTAGTTGTCCTCATTTCTTTGACATCATTATCACAAACTCTGGGGAGAAAATCAGCAACAGATTATTTATCTAACTGACCAGAAAGACATAAAGTAGGTTGTTCAGTTTGGAAATTGAGAATTAGGACTGATTCTAGATTGTTATGTTTACCTTGGTAACAATAAATAAACCTGCACCTTTAAGCTTATTTTTTAGTTTTTAAGGTGCTCAGAAAACTAAAAAGAAACATAAATATATTACTCTCTGAGCTCCCCCCCGCTTAGCTCAGCTCAATTTAACTCATCCTAACTCAAAATTAATTCACGACAGCTCAACTCAGCTTAACCTAAGGCAGACAGAACCAAATCAAATCAAATTTACTAAATTAATTTGGTTTCAAATTATTTTAATTTAATTCAATTTAAATATTTTCTATTTGTTCAAATAATGAATTTTGTTGTAGTACTAGATAACAACAAATAATTTATCCCACTATTTAGTTCAGGTCACCTCAATGTAATTTAAAACAGCTCAGTTAAAGTCAGCAAAGATAAAAACCAAATCAGTTTCAATGGCATTATGTAGTTAAAAGGATAGCTTATGTACACTCAATACAAGTCAGTTCATCTCACTTTAAAACCCTCTGATTAGATCAGCTCGTGTATATTTAGCTCAAGCCCACTTAATGAAACTCAATGCAAGTCTGCTTAAATAAATTACATTTTTGTCCACTTAGCTGAAAGAAAATCAAATCAAATGAGGTCACCTAAGAATAAATCAAGTCAGCTAAACCTATCTGTACCCAGCTTAATTCTGAATACTTTTATTTTATCAGAGCAATATTTAGTAAGACAGTAAACTCAAAACACTTTGTGAAAAGTTAAACAAATTCAGCTGAAAACACCTTATTATGTATAACAGTATAAATTCATCCTTTTGAATGTAATATGCTGCTTTTTTATTACAGAAAAGCCAGATTTAGGTTATTAGAAATTATCAAAATGGAGTTTGGCAAAAAAGGAGGCTTTATAGAAATAGAAGCAAACAGATTGCTGCTTATTATTAAAAAAGGTTAATTATAATCCCATATTACATAACAACTAATGCAATATTGTAGTACTTAATAATGCATTTACTATGCAAACCCATAAAACAATCCTCTAACCTAACATCTGACACCAGATAGTTACATAAGGATGACATTTTACTTTTTTACTGTGTCTTTTTATTACTTACCCTCAAAGTCAACTTTTCCATCTCCATTGTTGTCTACTTCTTTGACCACTTCCTCTATTTCTTTCTTACTTGTCTGTTCGCCTAACAGCTTTATCATAGCAAGTCTCAGCTCTTCAGATGAGATAGATCCATCGCCATCGATATCAAACTACAAAAAAAGATGATATATTTGATAATTTTTTAGTAAGTGTATTTGATATCAACAAGGGCGGCGGGGTCATATTAAACAAAGAAAGAAAAAGAAATACTATTAGCTCACCTCTTTGAAAGCATCTTTGAGTTCTTTTAACCCAATCATCCCAGCAGTTTCATCTAGAAGCTTGGGTGTCATAAGCTCCACAAAATCTTCAAAGTCTACCCGTCCTCCCACTATGCCGACAAAACAGTAAGATAACAAAACTAATCAGCTCATTCCATAATGAAAGATGCTTCTAAAGGTTGACAACATCTTTTATGCTAAGTAAATAAATGTAAAAGTATAAAACAAACCCATGTTAAACAAAATTACTCAATTTAATAGTTTTACGGTTGCTGTGAGAATTTTGACGGTGGAAATTTTCTATTTTTTTCTTATTATTTTATTGAGAATTTCTAAAGAAAAATAAGGAAATACTACAACGGACAATATTCTTTTTTTTAAAAATAGCTGTAGCGCAGTCTACAATATTTTTTACTATCTGACAGTGATATGATTGCTCTACTAATTAAACCTATTCCATTTAACCATAGATGAACTTCTCATTCATTTTAGTTTTGTTTTATTTTGTCTTGTTTAATAAGCAGTACTCACGGTTCATGTTAATAGTTTGGCTCAGCTCGATCAGCTCCATCTCAGTCGGCATGTAGCCCATGGTTCTCATCAGGTTCCCCAAGTCCTTGCAGGTGATGAAGCCATCCTTATCTTTATCAAACTCTATAAAAGCTTCACGGAGCTCTACATGACACACAGAAATAGAGATTTTTTTTTTTAATTTTTAAGTATGAAAGCTTAACTTCATCTCAAATAATCCATCTAAAAATAATTGATATTACCTTCGAGCTCTTCCTTTGTAAGAGCTCTTGTCTGTTGAGCAAATAAAGATTTTTGTCAGAGAAACACATTTTTGAAACAAAAAAATCCATAGATAAAAATGCTACATTTTTTTTCCACATCCTTTTTCTGTTTTTTTTTTTTTTTTTTCCGAGAACTTCTCATTATGACGGAGAAATGGAAAACTGAATTCAAATTCAAACTTGCCAATTAAAGTGAATTTGTTTCTGCTTTGTCTCAGATTAAATGGTGCACATCAAAGTTAAACTATAACGTTATGTTTTTTTTTGCATGAAAAATATTAAGAATGCTTTTATTTAACTCAAGTTTTAAACAGGAGGCATCTGAGTGGCCATAAATATTCAGAATTTATACGGTTTGTGCTTTTGCTTTTACTCTATAGGAGAATGTTTCTTTCGTACTGTAAATGAAATGTCACAAACATTTTGCTGCTATAACAACTGTGGTAATACAGATAATTAGCCAGTGATTAAAACTGAATTTACTTTTTGCTTAAGTCTTATGCACTGATATTATTAAAGATCAGAATACATTGGAAAATATCAGAAAACAAAACATTGTATCAGTCACTATTTACTGTTAAATCATTAGATTTCACAGACTTACTTTTCTCTTATTTCCTGCTCCCTTGAGGAAGATGCAGGGCTGCTTTACGCTCATGATGAGTTGCTTATATTAAATCCTCTTCTAATAGCTTTAGCTTTGTAAAAAAATAAATAAAAGAAGCAAAAATCTCTGTCTTACTTTCCACCCGTTTATATCCAAAGGTATCTTTGCTGAGGATCTTTTCAGAGTCTGAACCCAGCAGTGGTAAACTGGTCTCTGCAGCGATGTGCAGTGACGTCTTGTGTGGATTATCTTTTCAGCTTTTGTCCAGAGAGGAAAGCATAGGCTTAATGGGGACCATAGTCTCACACAGTCAAAGGGTAATGGTTGGGGGCTGGTGCCTATTTCCAGCAGTTATCTGGCAACAGGGCAGTGGACACATTGGACAGATTGCCAAAACTACACAGAATCTCACAGAACAGATGCACATGCATGGTCACATGCAGGGCATTTTAGAGTAGCCAAATAATCTAACATTCATGATTTTGAACTTTGGAAGTAAGCAAAAATAGCTTAAAACCTAAAGTATCAATAGATTTAGCATGTAGACTTCATTTAGAAACACCCCAGGCTGGGATTTGAGCCCAGAACCTTATTGCTGTAGTGCCATTAACGGCTCTATGGTGCATTAAAAAAAGAAATCATGAAGCCATCAATTATTTTTTTCATGTTTAGTATTATTTCCCTAAGCTGCTAATATCTAACATATATTTTTTTTTACAGTAGTCAGAATAACTTTTTTTCCTGGCATACATTAAAGAACACTGTTAATGATATTACTAGTTATTAGTGATCAAAGCCAAGTAGTAAAATACTCTTATACTTTATCACAAGAAAAAAGAACTAACAATTATTTCTATATAAAATGCGAGAAGAGTCATAAAAGTACATTTCTTGCAGAATGGAACACAGTGGAGAAATGTCCCCCAAAAACATTTATTTAATTCAATCTAATCTGCAGTACTTTCACATAAACTGATTAGTAGTAAATATAAGCATTTTATAGCCTGAGGGGTCAGTAACCCAGAAGCGGAAGAAAATGGCTAAAGATTTTATTTTTTCTTCAGTCGTATATCACAGATATTCCATCCTCCGTAAAGCTGCAGCGTAAATCCAGGCCTATTAAGGGAATAGCTCTCTCCACCTAACTAGAGTTATTTTGACTTAGGCATGCATTTAAATCTCTATTCTAACAACAAAAATCTGTAATTTAAATATGAAATTCTCTGTACTAAATAATTTAGATGTTAGAGGTTAGAGGTTATGTAGAGCAATGATAACGGGCAAAAGATAATTAACAATGCAAGAGATTGTAGAAAAATAAAAGAGGACTTATCAAATGGATTTAAGCTGTGTTGTCTTAATATTGAGATCAAGTGTAACATAAGTTTTTCCAAGGATGGTTTTTGATATTATGATTTGTAAACCAAACCTGGCTTTTTGTGAACAGTTTTGACTGCATTTCTTTTTTTTTTTCATAAGAGCTGTAAACCACATCTGTCTAATGGAAGGCATTAAATATATCTATAACAACTTAGTGAATAGTTCCAAGTAGTGAGGTGGATCCTCCTTTTTCTAATCAAAGGAGTCACTTGCATCACTAGTGTGATTTCTGGGTGCACAGAAGAGAGGTGATGTAAGGTTACTGGCAATGTATTATTTAGATGGCAATTTTTTAAAACCTTTTTACTTTATCTTATCCGGCCACAGTAAAAAGAAATAAAAAAGTTGAACAAAACAAAACAAAACAAAACAAACATCTGTCTATAGCAACTTTGAGTCTGTTTAAACACCATTGAATACCTAATAAAATTCTGATTGATAAAGAATAAAACAATTATATTGTGTTGGTATCTCACTGAAGATGATAACCCATCCAACCAAATGGCCTATGCAACATGGGGAAATATGATTTGTGTCATTAATCTGTCACATCCCATTCCCTTCAGGCTACACAGTCCTTACACTGCTTCAGTATGCATGTTTCCTAAAAAATCCAGCTCTAAGTAACAGGAAAAAAAAAAAAAACAACAACTCTAGGGAGATAAGAACTCTGTAATGAAATCAACATTTCCGGTTAGATATTTTAGTGCCGCCATCAACAGCTGGGGGATTGTTGAACAAATTTTTATTTTTTTTATTTAACTCTCCTTCTTGAATGGCTAAAACATACTAATCTAGCTCAGTCAGGTTTAATGGCAGGCTGTTGTGCTCTAGTTTTCTTGACTACACCAGATTAAAGTGCTTAACTGTAAAATGTCCAGTTACTGTTGGTATATTTGATGGATGCAGCTGTATTAGCTGCTTGCTTTGTCTTGAGTAGTTATAAATATTTTTCAATTTTTTTTTTATATCTTTTTAATCATTGATGGCACGAAGGCATTTGATATGGGAAAATAAGCACACCAGCCACTCTTTAGCATTTGTTCTGCAATGTTACTTTGCAAAGTTATTTAAGTAATTTTCTTCGTAAAGGATTAATATATGTAAATAGTTTAAAAACACATCTTATATTTAAGGCCATAGAAGAAGGGCTTTTTAAGTCATCAAAATATTGTGGCAGGATACATGGGAATGGGCTTAGTTAAAATTTTTTTTTTACCAGGATCAGAGGGTTTGAATTCATTTGGGATGGCAAACCTCACAGCCTAGAGATTATTCGTTCCAGTCACTATTACAGGAGCCTGGAGACAAATCACACTGAAACAGTCAGCTGTGGTGAAAAAGCCTGGAGAAACAGTAAGATATCCTGTATTGTCAATGGATTTGGCATAGACAAAGAACATGTCACTGAAAACGACAAACAATGATTATTGATTGAAGACATTCAGGGCCGTGGAAGGAATATTCGTCATCCTTTGCAAGACAATTTAATTTGATGCATCAAATAGCACTGCACACCATCCACCAGCATTAGGGATTTGACAAAGAGAGATTCTGCTCTTTACTTCTGTGCTCATACAGCACAGTGACTAAAAATACCACACCACTCGTGTAAAAGTGTGTGACTCCTGGACGGGGCCAGATGTTCAGCTGGTTGACAGTTGCCTTTTGTATCTCTGCTTCTGTCTCCTCAAACCCCAGTTGATCTCAGCAGATGGCTGCTCAGGCTGAGCCTCGTTCTACTGGAGATTTCCTTCTGTTAAAAGGGAGTTTTTCCTCTCCACTGTCCCTACAAGCATGCTTAGTGTGAGGGATTGCCTTCGAATCAATAAGTTGGTGCTGTCAACTGGTTTTCCTTAGATGGAAAACTGTGAATCAATCTGACTGTATGATCTGGTTGAATTGTAAAGTTCCTTGAGATGACATGTGTTGTGAATTGGCGCTATATATATAAGCGAAATTGAATTGAACTAAAAATCTCCCAGATAACAACAGGCAATGGAATCATAGTTTTAGATAATATTAATACATCCTGTAATCATTGTATCAACTCAACATTATCAGATGATTTTTAATTGTATTCACAATTATAATTTAAAATAGAATACCTATTCAATTGAACTTTATCTCTCTCTATGTAGATCTGGACTAATTTCCAGTGACAACAGAATGCAGCAGGCACATCACCAGATGGATGGTTTGATCATTTACTTTTTCCTTTATCTAAAGCACTGTATGTATACGGTACAACCCTTAGCCTTAGTTTCCTTCCCTGGATCATTCAAAAAGGTTTCAGAGATGATAAAGTGTTTCTTTTCAAAAAAGATTTGGCTGAATTTCTTTATTTGTTCTGTTTATCTAAAATAATGATTATACATGGAAAACATGAAATTATATCCAAAAATATATTTACCGAAAAACATGTTCAAATGAAATGCCATCAGTTGCAGACCAACCAAGTGGAACCATCTGTGCAAAGGATGTAGAACAGATATTTTGTGTTTAATAACATAAGATAAGCAATGACCAGCTTTTAAAATTGAATCTATTTACAAAAATCATATACAGGTAATCCTGAACAGAATTCGGTTTTATTTACAACATGACTGTGCATGGTTTCTTTTTCATTAAAGCAGCTTCAGTGTTTTTAGGATAATTTGGTGTAACAGGCGATTCTCTCAAGTTACATAGGAACGTTTTTTGATTATTATTTTAGAATTGCACTGCTAATGGTGACAGCATGTTAAACTACCTCTGCTTCCATCTGATTTTATTTATTAATAGAACTTTAGTTACTAATCACTCAGAAACTAACTCACACCAATTGTCAGTGTTTTTCTGATCTTTCATGCTGTGCATCTAGAATAATTTTTTATAATATTTTAAAAATTCTTTTACATTTGTTATTATGCATACTCAGTGCAACTGTAGCGAGTTGGTAATTTACACCAAAGAGCAGCTCATTAACTTCTCAAAAATAGAAATAAAAATTCAACTACTTACAAAAGTACCAGCTGGTTTAACAAGGAAGATGCACAGCAGGAGTGAGAAGAGAGAGGAAAAAATAATTCAAGCCACCCCTTTTTAGCAATTATTGTGGGCAATATGACATTTTTGGGAAAGAAGTTCCAAGAACCCTGAGCCCTAGTGAGGACCCACACGTAAACTACACAAAAATTTAAATGCACTTTTGGTTTTGCTCCCATTTTTTATGAGATGAACTCAAAGATCTAAAACCTTTTCCACAAACACAATATCACCAGGGCTGTCTAAGGAATACCTGTGCACTAGTCATGGTTTCTAATCAGCATCTCTAAATATTACACCAGTGAGGTGGGGTGGGTTATCTCAGCAAAGGAGAAGTGCTCACTATCACAGATTTAGACGAGTTTGTGAGCAATATTTAAGGAAAATTGACAATTTTCTTGAGATGAGGCCTCATGAAGCATTGAACGTTTTGCCGAATTGCTTCAATGATCCTCACAGTTCATGAAGCTTTATGTGAACATGTTACCACCTACTGGTGAAGTGCAGAACTACGGTTAGTAATATAAACAGATTTTTTTGCAATTGTTTTTCTTGTTTTTCTCCGCCCATTTAAGTTCCTTTGAAATTGTTAATGATTGGCTTGTATAATAAGTTTTTTATGTTATATTTCTTATGTGTTCAGCCAATCTTTTGGCTAAACCAACCATAAACCTTAATTTGGCAGTGTTTTTAGCCAATCTATATTTGTACTATACAAAACAAATTAGTCACATTAGCCAAAATACTTCTTAAGTATTA